TTTAATAAACAACCAATAAAATTCAAATCCGCTAATAACATTCAATTAGATTATGAAAAAAAAGTGTTATAAAAATAAAAAATTAACTCAACAATGATAATCCTCATATGGATATTTGGTACAAGTTTTGGTATTTGATTTTTTTTTTAAAAAATGGTATTTGCATCACATATCACTCCTTCGATCTTGAAATCCACATACCTTCATGCAATACATTTTAAAAAAAATTAAAGAACCTACTAAACAATCGTTATAACAATCAAATTTAGAAATACACAATCATATTTTTTTTACATCACCAAAAAAAGTTATATACGAAATGGTGTATAATATGGTTAAAAAAATTGGTGTCCACTTCATTATCTTATAATGAAATTCGAACACCAACTTGTAACCAACTATATAGATAACATTGATTTATGAAGATTGATAAAGTTGAACATGATTATATGTTACAATCCAACGGTGCATAATACCATGATTATATGATTAAGGTGTACATTATGGTGACAATTTGGTGTACATTTCAATATAATATATAATGTATGATATACACCAAACATTTACACCACAAACTAACCAAAAGTAACTAATTTATTTATATAATAAATTTAATAAAACAATCAACTAAATGCATAATACCATCATATAATATCTATTTTTTAAAATATACACATCAATTATAGTGTACTTGAATGGTGTACATTATGGTGGATAATTTAATATGATAAATAATAATACATATTTTAAACCAATATTACACCATGATCTTACCAAGAATTTTATCAAATTATTTTGGATAACCAAATTAATTAAAAAGTGAGTACATTACTATTTAACATTGATTTCCATATTAATATTGTCATTAAACAGTGGTAAATTTATAGAATTCGAGTTATATTAGGTGTTAATCTTGGTTTTGATTATATTTGCAATCCTACAATTGATAATACCATAATCTACAAACCATACGAATTGTTCGTTTTAATAATTATACAAATAACATTAGTGCCATGAATGATTCATCAAAACAATTTACAAATAATAAAATTTTCATGATTAACCACATCAAAAAAGCCTTAAAAAGAGATTTTTCAGCCACTGAAACATTTGCTTTTTTTTTTTTTGAAAAATCAAACTATATTATCTTACAAAAATAAACCAAAAGTAAATTAAAAAAAATGATACATACCGGTGATATCTCATATTTGTCGTGCTGAATTAAAACGGACACGTTCTTGCTTTCAACCATTGAAACGACCTTAAACAGGAGATAAAGACTTTGTTTTGGTTACAATACGTTGTTTTGAGATATGAGAGAGAAATATTAAGTAATGAATATTTGTGGAAGGTAACTGAATTGGAGTAAATTAAGGAATTAATATCTTATTTAATATTGAATGATGCGTTGCTTATTTTTCTTTTACCTTTTTGTTAATTTATTTTTATTTTGTTTTACTTCTATTGCTATATTGGTGTAAAGTCAAACTATTGTTATATAGAGGTTATTTAGGTGCTTAAATTGTATATTTAAGTTTTTTACCCTTAAAAAAATTATAAGTTTTATCATAAATAATAATTTTTCTATAAAAATTTTAACACATAATTTATTCTTGACAAAAATTTGGAGCCCCCGAAATTTAGGAGCCTAAGGCAAAGGCCTTATTTTCCAAAGCATAAAGTCGCCCCTGATATGAGGTACCCTGTTCAATGGGGGCGGAGCTAGGTGGGGATTAGTGGGTTTGGAACCTAATAATTTTTCCGTAGACCATATATACAACTCAATGATAAGGAAGATGAAAGAAATTTAGAATCCCAAAGTCCTAATAGTGACTCCGTCTCTGCTTGTCAATAGGGTTGATCCCAACTTCTGAATATGTGTGCTAGTTAAGGGGAAAAGCAATCTAAAGAAGTATACATATATACATGTACAATAAGAAAGGTAAATGTAATTACTTTTTGGACCACTAGAGCTAGGAATATTTATCTGAGGATTGATTCATCCAGGCAAGGCTCCACCTGAAGTAGGTAATTTGCTCAAGGAATTGTGATTACTCTTTTTTTTGGATTCTTTTAGATTAGTTATTACTCTTTTTTTGGTGTTTTTTTTTAATTAGAGACTATAGCCGAATTTACCTTGAAATCACCTATTGTTCCCTTCATCTCTCTCATTCTCCTCCAATTAATCAAGGACGGACCCACCCTTAGTTAAGGAGTG